ATAAAACATGAAAAAGACTGCCAGTGCCCACTAATATTTGTGTGCTTTTTTCCTGCCTTAGAATACTGCTAAATTCTCAATCTCAGCCTCTTGCAATTTGATAGAGTCATTTAAAATATTCTGGCTAGGGACACCTGGGTGGCACAGTTGGTTGGGCAACCAACTCTTGGTTTCGGCTCAGGTGGTGATCTCAGGGTTGTGAGACTGACCCTGCCTCAGGCTCCGCGCTCAGGGGGGTGTCTGCTTGAGACTCTCTTTCCCTCTCCCTCTGCCCCTCGCCCCTCAACCCTGTGTGTACACACATGCTTTCTCTCTCTCTCGAATAAATAAATCTAAAATAAAATAAAATATTCTGGCTAAAAATATATGGCAGAATCAGCTTAGTTTCTGAAATTTTTCCCATCAACCTCTGATCTCTCTTCCTTTGGTGGAAGCTTGGAAGCCACACAATGAAAATGGCAGCATCACCTTTACAGAGAGAGCCAAGTCCATCTAAGGAGCTGAGTCCAAATACTGCATGTATCACATGTCTAAATCCTGAAAAAAAAATTTATGCTGTCTGTACCACAAAGCAAGCAGTAATTCCTTTCTAGTATTTATATAAAAAAGTTTGGAGTGTCCAGAGTCAACATTAACATAACATTATCATATGTCAAAATGATAATCAAAGCAAAACTTTACAACAGACTTAACAATAAATCCTAGAATTTAAACAAAGCATTTTCAAGAACTTCATGAAAAGTTCTATTTAATCCAATAAAAGCTTTTCTTTTGAAATTTTATATTATTTCTGACTTCCTAAATTCACATGGCAGATGTACAAATTCACCAGTGACTACATGTCATTTCTTAAAGCAAAATGGGAATTTATTTATGAAATTCTGATATCAAAGTTATCAACTGTGCTTGTATAGCTAATGGAACTTTTATTTCTGTGAGTTTCTAAATCCAAAGTAGTTAAGCACAGAGAAAATGAGAGAATACTCAGCAATTTATTTATCAACGTATATTCCCAAAGAACCTAGCATAAGACCCTAAGTTACATGGGGAATCTAAACATTTAAAGTGCACTTTTGGGCGCCTGGGTGGCTCAGTCGTTAAGCTTCTGCCTTTGGCTCAGGTCATGATCTCAGAGTCCTGGGATCGAGTCCCACATCGGGCTCCCTGCTCAGCGGGAAGCCTGCTTCTCCCTCTCCCACCCCTCCTGATTATATTCCCTCTCTCACTGTGTCTCTCTCTGTCAAATAAATAAAATCTTTAAAAAAAAAAAAAAAAGCAATAAAGTGCACTTTTATTAATCATTTATTCCAAATAATAACATAAGTTAAATATAAAATGCTGAAACAATGGTCATGAGTATGCCTACATATTAAAAACTCATTAATTGTTTAAATTATATTATAAATAAAAACCAACCCCAGCAAACCATTTCAAGGAAGCTTCTGTTTCTCTCTAAAGAGTTAGGAGACTACATATATTTCTATTTTAAAAACATATTTAGTAGAATACATATACGTATATGTATATCTTACATATACATGTATAGAATTCTTTTAAAATATTCAAATAGAATATAATAAAATGTAATTCACATAGAATCTAATTTTTGATAATTTAGAAAAAAATCAAGAGAATAAACTGTTACAAAATTTTATACCTAAACACAAACTATCCAACTACCTATTCTATTAGATTGCCAGTGCCAGAACAGTAGAGAACATTTGTTGGATCATGAATAAACTAGTTTCTTTTACATTAGAAGGCACACATACTTAATAGGTATGATTCAACCAACGTTATTACCAGTCAATTAGCTTTACACATTTTCTTACCTAGAAAATATAGTTAACTATGCTTAAAAATTCCATTTGGAAAAACATTTATGATAGATTTTTTCCTTTCTACACATAGGGTCAATTTGGAAGGTCAGAAAAGACATACTACTGCTTTCATTATCCCTTTTACTGGGCATCCTCTAAGTACTTAGCATTATGTTGGGTATTGGTTTGCCATCAGGGTATATAAACAAAGAGAAAATATAAATAAGATATAAACTTCATGCTCTCTCTTCCTTTCATAGAAACCTTAGAAACCATACACTGAAGATAGCAGCAGCACTTTTATGGAATGTCTAAATATCTCCATGGAGCTAAGCTGAACCTGACCACTATACAGAACATCCACATTTTTGGCCAGATGTCGTAAGGCATAACAAGTATTACTGAAACTGGAGTTTACAATATAGAACATTGCTGAAGTAGTCCATCTGTGCTGTAGCACTGTCTGCCTAGAGAAAACATCTCTAGACCATGCCAGGAAGCCCTCAAAGCAATGATGGTATTTGGGTTCACCCTGGCCATTACACAGATTTGTTTGAACACATTAAACATCTCCTGGAAGGTCAAGAAATCTGGACCAAATCCTTGCTCTTCCACTAATTAGCTTGTAATTGAGAGCAAACAATTAGACATTTTTAAGTTTTGTTTTCTTCTTTTGTAAACAGCTAATTGTCCATTAAGTGAAAGGGGCTAGCCCACTGAGGCCCTCAATACATGTTTGCTTTCAACTTGCTTTCAAACCATCCATCTACCAATACCAAAACCCCCAAACTCATATACTTGGTAAATCTATCAAAAGACAGGTATTGCCATCATATTTGTGGTTTAAAAAAAAAAGGCTTTTTACAACATCTGTATGTTGGGTTAAAAAAAATCTACTTGAAAAAAAAATCAGCTTAAGCCTTGCTTAAGAAAAAGGAAGCCAAACTAAATAAATCCTGAACAGGCAGGTCTTAGAATGCATATATTTCCCAAATCTGTTTTCTATAAGTCAGATGTTTAGAGGTAGTGACATATTTCCCCGTAAAACAAGTTTTAAGATTCCCAAGCCAGCTTGTTTAAATATAGCCAAAATATAATTTATGTTAGATGACCATCACCATTTAGAACAAAGAATTCACTGCAATATATATACAAAGTTCCAGCTTGGGATGATCCCTGGAAGATACCTCTCCTTACTAAAATCCCTGTAGCTAGAACACAGGGACTTCCTTTCTTTCACCAGCCCTGACTCTGATCTTCTCACCTACTAGGCTGTAGGGCTAGAACATTACCTATTCTTCTGTACCCATCCCACCTCCAAACTCCAGTAGCATGTTCATATAATGATAAGGATGCCATCAGGACACCCTTAGGACAAGGATGGAAATAGGGGTGCATGGTAGAGGCAAGAAACTTAGGCTTGTCTGAAGGGTTATTAAAAAGTAGGCAGGCACTGGTGTGACTAAGAAATGAGGAGGGTTTCTTATGTACCTCTCTTTTACAAACTTACTACTACTGAAAAATTAAAGCAGAGTGTGGGCCAAAGACCAGATGGGGAAAGCAGGGTTGAACAGGGAAGCTTTTCAACAGTGGCAACTGGATCAAATTTTCCCTTCCCTTACTTCTTCTCATTGCTGTACCAGTATTACAAATAATGAAGACCATGAGTTCTTTAAGGAAAGGGATCAACTCCTGCCCAACTATGTATCCTTGGTGTCTGAAAATCTGGCACACAGTAGGTGGTCAATATAAGTGTTGAATGAATCAATAACTATAACTGCAGTGAGTTCTGTAATTCATCATCTAGAACTTCTCCATACCTCAGGGCTTATTTTCCTAGCTCATGGGAGTACTGCTGGCAGACAGCCCTCAGCTGTCAGCCCTCTTAGGGAATTGCCTCAGCTGAAAAGAGTCATCTTGGCCTAAGATCATACTCCTTTCTGGGGCATCTTGCATCTAATGATTGGGGATATAAAGGTCCAGCTTTCCTCACCTTGACTCGAGACAATTCAGAGGATGATCCCAGCTTCAGAACTCTCCGCTTGGGGTTACTGAGGCTGCATCACAGTCCAACTTCTCCAGTGGAAGTTGGGCCTCCTTCCTTTGCATGGCGTTGGTCCCAAGACACCTCCTTAGTAAATGTGCTGCACTCTAATTTCCATTTTAGAGTCTGCTTTCAAGAAACCCAACCTGAGACTACAGCCCAAAGAGGATCTAGGTCTGACCCAAATTTAAACCGCCCAAGGAAAGGTATCTGACTTCATATTAAAGGTCAGTAAATACAAAAGGCTTTACAAAGGCTAAAGAATGAATTCTTTTATCCCTAGCAATTTGTTTTCCATTTCAGCACTTTAAGTAATCAAAATCAAGAGACCTAGAGTTTTGTTAAGGATACTTCAAAAAGGTGCATCTGTTTACTATCATGTAAGCTATTAATGGAAAACTGTACCAAAGTCAATTCTTATCTAACTTAAAACAAAAGAAATTAAACATTAATGGATTTAGTGTAAATATGGTATAAAACACTGCAAAGAACAGTGCTATTCTTTTTTTTTTTTTTTTAAGATTTTATTTATTTATTTGAGAGAGAGAGAGAGCACAAGAGCAGGGAGCAGGAGAGGGAGAGCAGATTCCCCACTGAGCAGGGAGCCCAATGGAGGACTCGATCCCGGGACTCCAGGATCATGACCTGAGCCTCAGGCAGTCGCCCAACCAACTCAGCCACCCAGGAGCCCAAGAACAGTGCTATTCTTATCATAGGTGTTAATCAACATCTGACTTGGTAAGGAATTGCTTTTCTACTAAAAGCTACTCAATATATTAAGTACAGTACTTTTCACTGTCATTAACAGAAATGCAATGCTAAATAAAAGTCATTATTAAAATATGAAGAGTTACAAATTACCAGAACTATTCAAGGCCTAGCTGAGCAATAAATAAATAAATAAATAACAAAAGGAAATGCATTAAAAATCACAATTACTATTACCTTCAAATATAACAGCATATTTAATTTCTCGCCAAAGTAAAATTAAATAGCTTATGAGTCACTTTATGTTTTTTTAAAAAGATGATTAGTCTGCCATTAATTATTTAGAGGGCAGATCCTTCTTCGACTACAGAGAAATTAGAAATTTATGTTATATGGAATGGAGATGTATTAGGCTTCTGTCATCTTACCATGAACACTTCCTAATGTAATATCTCCAGCAGCAGAAGACAGAAATGACAATTCTGTATAAAGATACTTGGCTTCCAGCAAACCATGTTCAGCAGATATATTAACAGTACTTCCTTGCAGTTTATCTATGGTCACAGTCTATTAAGAGAAAAACTCAAAATCAGTTCATTATATGTGCTATGGTGAGCGCTGTGAATTGTGTAAGACTGTTGAATCACAGACCTGTACCTCTGAAACACATAATACATTATATGTTAAAAAAAAAAAAAAAGAAGATAGCAGGAAGGGAAAAATGAAGGGGGGGAAATCGGAAGGGGAGACGAACCATGAGAGACTATGGACTCTGAGAAACAAACAGGGTTCTAGAGGGGATGGGGGTGGGGGGATGGGTTAGCCCGGTGATGGGTATTAAAGAGGGCACGTACTGAATGGAGCACTGGGTGTTATACGCAAACAATGAATCATGGAACACTACATCAAAAACTAATGATGTATGGTGATTAACATAATAAAAAAAAATCAGTTCATTATAAAACAAAGACTGGTAAAAAGCCAAACTGGTACCTACAGATTTAGTGGGCAACTACCTAAAAAGTTACTACCCAGTACACAATCACTTTACTGACTTTAATTCCCTGGCTCCCTGTGAGCAACAGTGTATTGTCTGTGGAATATGGAATAGACCCATTAAATTCCTTCGTTTATTTAGAGCTTCTTTAATTTCTCTTAATAATGTTTTATATTTTCTATATAGAATTCTTCAGCTTTTGTTACATTTATTCCTATTTGGTATTTTCTAAATGCTATTATAAAAGAACTCTTTTTTTTTAAACTTCATTTTATCTTAATTGGCTTTTGTATTTGCTCTTAAATCCAACAACTTCACTAAACTCACTAACTCTAATAATTTACCTGAATTTAAGGAAGCTTTTCTACATGCATAACTTGTATTGCCTGCAAGTGATAGTTTTATTATTTCCTTCCCAATCCTTATATTAATACTGTTTTTCCTGCTCTGTCCCGCCTAACTATCTGGCTCAGGCCTCCAATTCAACAGTGAACAAAAGCAATGAGATAGTAAGCAACCTAATCTTATTCCTGTTCTCAGAGGGAAAACTTACAGTATAACATCATCATTAAGATGTTTGCTATAGGGGCGCCTGGGTGGCTCAGTTGGTTAAGCGACTGCCTTCGGCTCAGGTCATGATCCTGGAGTCCCGGGATCGAGTCCCGCATCGGGCTCCCTGCTCGGCGGGGAGTCTGCTTCTCCCTCTGACCCTCCTCCCTCTCATGCTCTCTCTATCTCATTCTCTTTCTCAAATAAATAAATAAAATCTTTAAAAAAAAAAAAAAGATGTTTGCTATAGATATCCTTTAGATCCTTTGTATCATATCCCTTCTATTTCAAATTTGTTTTGTTGTTACAACTGAAATTACAAATAGGTTTTTAATTTTATCTGGGTTTGTTTTTTTTTTGGACTATCAGATTTTCTCCTGTCATCCGTTAATATAGTGAATGCACTATTATTTCTACAATTTTTCCACATTAAATCTAATAATAAAATAGGTTTCTATTGAACAAAATGAAAAGAATTTTGTATTTATTCCTAAGCTTCCCTATCAAAATTTAGCATGAATTTGTTTCAAATATTGAGCACAATGTAAAATGAAGATATCTACTTAAGGATTCCAAATCATCTCTAACAAATTTTAAGCGTGTTTTATAAGCATCAAGTGAGTGTTTATATAAAATTGTTGACAAAAACTGAATCACCAGGAAGGCATGTTACAGTTTTGCCCAGGATAAAGAAAGATCATTGCCCAGGTTTAAAGAAAGATCATTGTTTTTCAACACATCATCAGCACACCACCAGTGTCATTCATTCCTAATATGTACTTCAAAAAATGTTAAAAATTCAAAATACTATTTAATAAGAACTGAGTTTCAAGAATACTAAAATTTAGAAGTACAAAAAAAGAGAAAGAAAAGCACGCACAGGTCCCACTGGGGAGCAAATCAGAATGACTTCACCCTCCAGATTTGAAGTATGTAACTTTTTTAACTTTTATTAAGCACATAATATACACCTAGTTGCTTCTTATCTAGTTTCGTTTAAGCTGATTATGGATTCATAGGAATTTTTACTTTAAATTTAGTTTCAATAAATCAGTCAAAAAAAGATATTTTACCTACATTCATTCAGATTTGTGAGAATACAAATGTTTTGCATTCCTCGGTGTTATAGTACAGATGTAAAATTCCTGAAAAACTTTGTCCTTTACCTACAAAGTTTCTTCATGAAAAGTTGCTTTATGCATGGTTTCACCAAGCACTTCCATTAAGCAGACAACAACTCTAGGTTTTTACAGATAACGAGGCTGGTTTAGGGGATAAAAAAAGATACATATTGAAAAAATATTTGAAAGTTGATTAAATTGGCAAAGGGGCACTTTTGATTAGATTCTCCCCAAAACCAAATAAAGCCTTTAAGAGACTTTGTATGAGTATCTGGAAACGGTTAAGGATTTACTTTTTTTCATTAAATACTAAATATTTTACCTTGTAGAAAACTAGAAAAATATCCTCCCCCGCTGCACCAAAGCAAATAAAAGCAAGTTTTCGTACACCTTCCCCACTACAATAATATAGTTATTTTAGCCAATCATTCCATAAAATTAATTTCAAAGAAATTCAAAATTCACTGAGTACCACATATAATGCACTATATCAGATACTAACTAGAAAAATTAAAGCTAGGACACCATAGTTTATAGCAAAATGCTGAGGCTCTTGCTTATAGTTATTAATGCTAATGGAGCAAATAGTCATAAACAGACTCTTTGGATTAAACTGTATAGCTTGCTTATTAACAGAAGTAGCTATTAAAGAAAGATCAAAAAGTAGATCCAAAAATTAATACGTTCTTGATAGAGATATTACTATAAATTAATTTTCCTTTCTACACAAGAAGGAAAATTTTTCATAAGGTTAGTTATTATAAATCAACATTATATCTAATGAAAATCACACTTTAAGGAAGCACTGTGGCTTTGTAGCCCAAACTAAGAGAGGTCAACTGACAACTATGTCACCAGTTCATCCAAACATCAAAGGAAATGGATTTCTATCTTCTCTGTACCAAACTTAGGATACTAAAATTAATGATACTATTTAAAACAGCCACTCCATTTAAAATGACATATTAAAAATGCTGTTAAATGTTTACAGTACTCATTTGTTTCTCACAATCTTGCTGAGTAGGAAAAAGAAACAATATCAACTTTATTTTATGAATAATGGAACGAATCTCAGTAAAGTTAACTGGCAGATCTAGGACTAGTCATCTTTCCTGTGTTTCATTTACCTTTATCATCATCATTATAGTAAACACTGTATTAGAGTTAACTATGTGCCAGACATTGTTTTAAGTACTTAATCTGTATTAAGTGATTTAATCCTCATAACCCTCTGAGTTAAGTCCATTACTATTATTCCATTTCCCAGAAAACCAAGGCACACAGAGGTTAAGTAACTTGTCTGAAGTTAAAAAGCTTAAGTGAGGGGTGCCTGGGTGGCTCATTTGGTTAAGCATCTGCCTTTGCCTTTGGCTAAGATCATGATCCCAGGACCCTGGGATGGAGCCCAGCTTCGGGCTCCCTGCTCAGTGGGGAGCCTGCTTCACCTTCTCCCTGCTTGTGTGCTCTCTCTCTCTCAAAGAAATAATAAATAAAATCTTAAAAAAAAATTAAAAAATTAAAATAATAAATGAATGAATGAATGAGTGAATAAATAAATAAAAAGCTTAAGTGGCTGAGCCCGATTTGAACCCAGGTAGTCTGCTTCTCAGTTCTGTGCTCTTTACCAATTCATTACACTACCTCTCAAGTATCCATAGCACACCTCTGTGAAAGCTATATATTAAGAGTTAACATATCATAAGCATTTACTTTATATAAAACCCCACAAGCTTAGAAATAAATTTTAAATATTAACACTACATATAATATAAATAGAAATAAATATCCAGATTCATTCTTTAATAAAACACAAAACTCAATCAGGAAAGAAACAAAATAGTATAATAGAAAGCAGGAATAAATGAATATTCAATAAACCATGTAAGTTGGAACAAATAAATAACTTAATGAGTGGAAAAGGTGGCCAAAATGTTCAAAATAGCAAATAATGAAGAGATGATTTAAATTTTCCTTTGAAATGTTTATTTGAATGTCAATATGTAATATTCTGGTAACTTAGATCATTTCAATTAACATAAGCCATCATTTAAAGGACAGTTTGAAGGAGCTGCAAAGTTGTCCAATTTCCCTTTTGCACTTCTAAGCCCACAGCAATCCAAGGGGTGAAACTAAATGCCATCTTAAAAGAGCTGCCAGTTAGGCCATGCAGTATCTTTCAATACTTTCCTAGTCTAATGTAAAGGATGAATTTAAATGTTGGGGCTTAAAAGTATCCCACAGGTTCTAAGACAAAGGTGATGGAAAATAAAAGTGACAATAGTAGAAACAATTACTGTTATAATCTACCTTGTTTAATTATGCCAACAATAATCTACCTACAAGGGCGCCTGTGTGGCTCAGTTGGTTGAGCGACTGCCTGCGGCTCAGGTCATGATCCTGGAGTCCCGCACGGGCTCCCTGCTCAGCGGGGAGTCTGCTTCTCCCTCTGACCCTCCCCCTTCTTGTGCTCTCTCTCTCTCATTCTCTCTCTCAAATAAATAATTAAAATCTTAAAAAATAGTAATAAGAATAATCTACCTACAAGATATAACTCATCCTCACCAATTACCTGAGAATAAAGCTCAGTAGAAAATCTAAATTTATAATGAAAGATTCTTGCAAATTGTGTAAGTGTAAAATAAAAGGTGAACTAGATCTTTCTCAAAGATTTAAAACATTATCCATAATGTTAAAAAAACTGTGACAATTTATACTTCAAAATTATAACTATATTCCTAATACTATGCTAAATCACAGAAAGCAACAAAAGTTAATTAAAAAATACAAACTATCTCGGGGCGCCTGGGTGGCTCAGTCATTAGGCGTCTGCCTTCGGCTCAGGTCATGATCCCAGGGTCCTGGGATGGAGCCCCACATCGGGCTCCCTGATCGGGGGGGAAGCCTGCTTCTCCCTCTCCCACTCCCCCTGCTTGTGTTCCCTCTCTCGCTGTCTCTCTCTGTGAAATAAATAAATAAAATCTTTTAAAAATAAAATAAAATAAATAAAAAATACAAACTATCTCATAGCAACCAAAATCTCTATGGATAATAAAAGCTTTTGGAGAGTAGCGATGCTATCTAATGGTGCCACCTTGTGGAAAATACTGAAGAAAGTTGAGTTTTGAAACTCAACCTTCAACTGTCCAAAGGAAAAGTAAACAGGTCTTGGAAAGATGCTCAAATAAATCTAACACATAAAAAAAATTTAATCCTAACCGTGGCAGTAATACTCAATGATCCGGTTTAATCCATGATCATAAACATCCCTTCTGAACTTGAATTAAATATTTAATATTTAAAGATGTTATCAATTCCAAATAAATCAATACCTGTCAAAAGTATTAAATCACAAAGTAAAATTTAAGTTGTGTAATACTTAATCACTTCAATTTCAAATTTGAATTTACTAATGAACTAAAGTGCCTTAAAAAGGTGAGAATGTTATGCTACAAATTTTATAGAACCTACCTACAAACTATGTGAGCCACCTTGAAGCAAAATTATAATTGCTAATAAAAAAAAAGTTTCAATCTTACACTTTTATCTGATGCATGAATATCTATATTTCCATAAACTGTTCCCAGACAGATCACTTTGCCTCCTTTTGTTTGAACATGTAATTTTTGACTCTGAAAGACAAATACAAAAATATAGAGAAAAAGAATAAATCTGATGTAGAGTAATAAAAAAAATTCCAACATTTTATAAATTTCTTTTTAAATAATAATAAAGCAGCAAAAGGAACCAGGAATAAAACAGAAATGCACTGTTTGGATAATAACATCAACTGGGAAAGAACATCAACTGCTGTTAAAGGGATTAAATAAGCCATCCGTACTCATTAGAGAAAAAGAGTAGCTTCACTGAAAAAGGGTCTGGGAATATAAGATCACTGTGACTGGCTAACTAAACATAAATGTTGAGGAAGATGATAATAATTACTATTACCGTTCATCGTTATTAATAATTATCATTATTAATAACAATAATAGTTACCATTACTTGACATTTTCTCTGTACCAAATACAGTGTTCGCTACTTTACATGACTTATTTAATCTTCACAACTCAGAAATAAGTGTTATATTTTTCCAATTTTTAGAGGAAGAAATTCAAGAATCAGAAAAGTAAAATAACTTTATCAGATGACAGAAAACAACGAAATATAAACTAACAGAATCAAGGTCTGTATGATTTCAAAATCCACATCTGTGGCTGGAGTCTTCTGAAGGATATATTCATACTTAAGGTACAGCCCACTGATTATATTAAACTTTCTAGCATATCACACCCCAGAAAATGGAACTTGGGTGAAAATGTCTCAAGCACAAATAAAACAGCAGTCACCGTTATCCTCCTCTGTCCAAAAAAAAAAGTGTGTGGAGTGGTGAGGGGTCCTGGGGGGGTGGGGGGAGAGAAAGATTTGATTTCACACTTGGCAACTGTGGAAAAACTACCATAGGTCTATAAAAAATCAGTTTTTTTCCCCAAAGTAATAGCAATATAGCTGGAACCATGAAGAGATGATATTTTCCAGCTTCTGTTACCTCTGAGGGGTTGCTAAGTTCTTGCCAACAGAATTTAAATGGAAATGCTCTGTGCAATTTCAAGGCTATTGCTTTTAAGAAGAGTTGGTGTGCCTTCTTTATGCTCTGCCCCTTCCACCAGATGAGTGCAGATTACAGTAAGATTTTAAGAGATGGCAAAGCCGGAAGATGGAAAGAACCTAGAATCACTAAATAGAAGAGCCACCCAGACACTTGAACAAAAGAGAGAAATAAACTATAGTTGTACATGAGCCATTAGATGTTTGATCTATTTTTTAGAGTAGCTTGCTTTACCTTAACCATTACATACATCTTCAGTTCTGCCATAATCATTAAAAAAAAAGGTAATTAGCAAAGGAAGAAAAATAGCAAAAGCACAGTCACCAACATCATGACCAGCAACAGCATAGAAGTGTCTAAATTGTAGGGAAAAATTAAATTCAAAACAACCATATATCTTCTGGTTGCTTTACTCAAGGGAAAAAATAGAAAAACCTTAGGCAAAAAAAGCCCAGGAAGGAATTGCAAAAAATTTAGTGAAAGGGACAAAATGAATCATTCTTAAAAAGTTTACCTGTATTACAGTGGTAGACTACTTTATGCCCACAGAGACATGAGTCTGAAGTCAAACTGCATTTTAAACATAGTATTTATCAAGCAATTGATAAACTTTTGAAAAGAGTACCTCCAAAACAAATGTTACTTTAAATCAAGCTTACATGAATTTCTAGAGAGTCTATGAAACTTAATTGAAAACAAAATTTCACATATGTGTGAATTTTTTTTCTAAGGAGACAATCATCATTTTCAAAGAGGGCTAAGGCTCAAAGATATCAAGAGTTACTATTATAACTTAAAACTAATCTAATTCCAAAAAATTAGATTATAAGGTTTTTAAAAAATATATAAAACAAAATAAATAAATCAGAACCAATACAGTATAAACTACTGTATTGCATTTTTTAAAAATGCAAATGTGTGGCCTTCCATGAGTTATGTATGTTGCCTAAAAAATTTCTTTACTTATTCTCTAAGAGTGCAGAATAAATGTAGTATTGCCATATATTTTGCTCAACAGTAAAGAAATGACATGGATAGAACTAGAGGGTATTATGTTAAGTGAAGTAAGTCAATCAGAGAAAGACAATTATCATATGATCTCACTGATACGGAATTTAAGAATCAAAACAGAGGATCAGAGGGGAAGAGAGAAAAAAACAAAACAAGACGAAACCAGAGAGGGAGACAAATCATAAGAGACTCCATCATGGGAAACAAACTGAGGGTAGCTGGAGGGGAGGTGGATGGGGGAATGGGGGGCGGGGTGGAGACATGAGATAACTGGGTGATGGACATTAAGGAGGGCATGTGATGTAATGAGCACTGGGTATTATATAAGACTGATGAATCAAAGACCTATACCTCTGAAACCAGTAATACGTTATATTAATTGAATTAAAATTTAAAAATTATCCATGAAAAGAATAAAATAAAAAGATATATATATTTTACATATGAACAAGTACATACATAAATGATTATAAAAATATGAACAGAGGCTGTGTTTCCAGATGGTCGCAGGTCACTCAAGCAACGCAGCCTTGTGGTTTTAGCACATGAGCTCTAGACAGACTTAGGTTCAAGTCTTGGCTCTGTCATTCATCAACTCTGTGACCTCAGCAAGAAACATCTCCTGGCCTCACCTTCCTCATCTGTCAAATAAGGAAGCACGTAGCTCCCAGGGCTGCTCTGCTGATTAAATGAGATGATATATGCAAAACTCTTAGCAAGGTCTCTGGTGTGTAGTAAATAAAGCCACTTATGAGTGTTTTTAAAAAAAAAAAGAAAGAAAGAAAGAAAAGAAAGGTGGAAAGAACATGAGCTTGGAAATTAAGAAAGACCCAAGTTCAAATCTCAGCTTAATTTATTAGCTATTTGAACCTAAATGAGCTCCTCAATCTCTCGGTGCCTGAGTTTCATCCTTGGTTAAGGGGAGATATTATAACTCAAAGATTAAATGAAGGCTTAGCCAAGTTTCCTGGTACAAAAAAGACCCAGTAAACAATAGCTATTATTATTGCTATAAACATTTTATCAAACAGATCAAATATATTTATGCCCTTAAAATGAGTGGAAAAGAAACTTATATTAATAGACAATCATTAATTCAAGATAATAATATTGTACATTTAAAAATTAAACAAGATCTTTCACCAAGTGCTCCTATTTATGAATTTAAGTCAGTTATATCCTAAGATCCTAAGAATAATTCTCTTGATCTGGTATACCATTAGGATCCATTGGACCCAATTTTAGCTCTTGAATTTTTTTTAAACTATTCTATTTGTAAGGACTGATATTTCATGATTTTTATTTTCTTAGAGGTCTTCCAAAGAACATATAGAAAATTTACTCACTTTTAAAAAATAGAATAAAACACATTCTATCTTAAAATTACTATATCCATCTACTGGACTCTTCTGTAAATCTAAAATACATTATTGGCTCTTAGTGTTCTTACTTTTCACATCTTATAATATTCTGCTATTTCATTATCCTAGGAATTATTTCATCATAATTCATCAGTTACTGTCAACCATGCTTAAAAAAAAATGGTAAGACAACAGAAGAATTGAAGAACTTGCCTAGAATGGTAGTTCTCAACTAAAGGTGATTTTGCCCCCCAGAGAACATTTGGCAATGTGAAGGTGTTTTTCATTGTCAGAACCAAGGAGTGTGCTACTTGAATTTAGTAGGTAGAGGCCACAGATGCTTCTAAACAGCCCGTGACAACAAAGAATTATCTGGTTGAAAATATCAATAGTACCAAAGTTGAGAAACCATTTTTTCTTTTATGCCCATAATGGCAGGAGGAAGAAAAATGACCAAAAAAGATCTCTCAGAATTATCACATGAATCAAAAGAAAAAAGCAAAGAGATGAACAGTAGGATAGTAGCTTCTGATTTTAAAAAATTTTTTTAATCTGCAGACTCTTTTGTGATTTTGAGTACATTTATATTTGAACAGTACCCATAGAACTATCAATTTTTTAATGGTAATATATTTTTTATTAAGTTTTTAATTTTAATTCCAGTATAGTTAACATATAGTGTATTAGTTTCAGGTGTATAGTGCAGTGAGTCAACAATTCTGTGCATTACTCAGTGCTCATTAGGGTAAATGTACTCTAATCCCCATCACCTATTCCACCCAACCCCCCACCCCACCTACCTCCCCACTGGTAACCATCAGTTTGTTCTCTTTAGTTAAGTGTCTGTTTCTTGATTTCTTTTTGTTTCCCTTTGCTCGTTTGTTTTGTTTCTTAAATTCCACATGAGTGAAATCATATGGTATCTGTCTTTCTCTGACTTATTTTGCTTAGAATACCCTCGAGTCTAGGTCCATCCATGTTATCACAAATGGCAGGATCTCATTCTTTTTTATGTCTGAGTAATATTCCAGTGTGTGTGTGTATACATACCACATCTTATTTATCCATGCATCTGTGGATGGACACTTGGGTTGCTTCCATATCTTGGCTATTGTAAATAATGCTGCAATAAACATAGTGGTCTATATATCTTTCTGAATTACTGTTTTTGCTTTCTTTGGGTAAATACCTAGTAAAGCAATTACTGGACCATTTGGTATTTCTATTCTTAATCTTCTGAGGAATGTCCATACTGTTTTTCACAGTGGTTACACCAATTTACATTCCCTAGTGCCCAAGGGTTTCCTATTTTCCATATCCTCACCAACACTTACTATTTCTTGTCTTTTTTTTTTTTTTAAAGATTTTATTTATTTATTTGAGAGACAGAGAATGAGAGAGAGCAAGCACATGAGAGGGGGGAGGGTCAGAGGGAGAAACAGACTCCCTGCCCAGCAGGGAGCCCGATGTGGGACTCGATCCAGGGACTCCAGGATCATGACCTGAGTCGAAGGCAGTTGCTTAACCAACTGAGCCACCCAGGCGCCCTATTTCTTGTCTTTTTGATACTAGCCATTCTGACTAGTGTCCAGTGATATCTCATTATGGTTTTGATTTGCATTTCCCTGATAGTTAGTGATGTTGAGCATCTTTTCATGTATCTGTTGGCAGTGTGTTTTCTTTGGAAAAATGTCCTTTCGGGTCCTCTGTCCATTTTTCCATTGGATTTTTTGGTTTTTAGGTGTTGAGTTGTGTAAGTTCTTTATATATTTTGGATATTAACCCCTTAGCAAATGTATCATTCACAAATATCTTCTCCCATTCACTAGAACAGTACAAGGATGAGAAGCAACTTCCAGTCCTGGACAAAACCAAGTTCCTTGTACCTGATCATGTCAACATGAGTGAGCTCATTAAGATAATTAGAAGGTGCTTACATTTCAACACTAATCAAGCCTTCTTCCTGTTAGTGAACAGACAGCATGGAGAGTGTGTCCACGCCGATTTCTGAAGTGTATGAAAGTGAGAAGGATGAAAATGGATTCCTGTATATGGTATATGTCTCTCAGGAGACATCTGGAATGAAATTGTCTCTGTTAAGACTAGAAAAATGCATCTATTCTAAAATTTTTTTAAACTCTTACCAAGAAAGAAAAAAGGGATGTTACCAACTGAGATTGATCAGTTCATCCAATCAGAGACCATCACAACAGTAGTGTTCCTGCCTGAGTTTTAGAAAGTTGTTTTTGCACTGTAAGCAGGAAAACTGAGCTCCAAATGAGCACATTCAGCTTTATTTAACCTAGGCTGTTTTGTTTTCAAATTTAGAAGTTTAAAAATAATATACTTTGCATTCTAAAAAAAAGGTGTTTTATTCATGGTTTCCTTTGCTGTGCAAAACCTTTTTATTTTGTGTAGTCCCAATAGTTTTTTGTTTTTCTTTGTTTTGTTTTTGCTTTTGTCTCCCTTGTCTGAGGAGACTTATCCATAAATATGTTGCTAATGCTGATGTCCAAGAGATTACTTCCTATGTTTTCTTCTAGGAGTTTTATGGTTTCAGGTCTCACATTTAGGTCTTTAATCCATTTTGAGTTTATTTTTGTGTATGATGGAAGAAAGTACTCCAGTTTTATTCTTTTACAAGTAGCTGTCCAATTTTCCCAGCACCACTTATTGACAAAATTATCTTTTCTCCATTGTATATTCTTGCCTCCTTTGTCATAGATTAATTGACCATATAGATGTGGGTTTATTTCTGGGTTCTCTATCCTGTTCCATTGATCTATGTGTTTCTTTTTGTGCCAGTTTTGTGCCTGTTTTGATTATTATAGCTTTGCAGTATATCTTGAAATCTGGGATTGTGACACCTCTAGCTTTGTTCTTCTTTCTCAAAATTACTTTGGCTATTCAAGATCTTTTGTGGTTCCATACAAATTTTAGGATTATTTGTTCTGGTTCTGTGACAAATGCTATTGGCATTTTGAGAGGGATTGCACTGAATCTGTAGATTGCTTTGGGTAATAAGGATATTTTAACAATATTAATTATTCCAATCCCAAATATATCTTTCCATTTGTTTGTATCATCTAGCTTCTAATTTTGATTATGAAACTAAAAATATAAGATACTGAGTTTTCAGAAGACAATATTCTAGATGAATTTTCTGAAGGTCAAGCATAGATGAGTGAACAATATATTTCTAAAGGCAAAAAGGAACTATGAATATTCTTATCCAGTTAGTCATTCAACATGAAGACTTCATTGTGTATCTTTTACAACAAGAACCTGAACCATCGTATTTTTCTAAAAGGGCATATAATAGTATTCTTTAATCTTTTGTGATATTTGTGCAATTACATTTATTTGAAATGGTTCACATGTGAACAGATACTAAAGACAGGGTGCAAATAAAAGTGACTGAAACAAATGACATAAAAAATTTTTAAATGCATCAATCATTCTAATTAGTGCTTATGATAAAAATGAAAATGTTTTAAAATTATGAAGCATAGGTGACTGACTTCTCTTCAACAAAGTTATATGCCATCAAAGTTCATAAGCTTTGTTTTGAATATGCAAATATAAGAAAGGTTTTGAATATGCAACTGTAAGAAGTACCAACAGTAATGACAAACCAGCTGCTATCAGAGATGTATCTGAAATCATTTAGAGCTGAGATCAATCTAATTTTAAGAAAATTGAATATAAAAGTGTTATTACAAAACAAGACGAATCATTTGTTGTTTAGCACAAATACCTACTTAATCCTTAAGTAATGAGCTACCTAGTATGTTAAAAATGTGACGAATATTTTAAGCATATTTGTAGTGCTTAAAGACTTTTCCTTACTCTAATAAATGGAAGAAAGCCATTTGTTAAACCTAAAATTTCTTTGGAGTACCTGGGTGGCTTAGTCGGTTAAGCGTCTGTTTTCAGCCCAGGTCATGATCCCGGGGTCCTGGGATCAAGCCCCGAATCAAATCGGACTCCTCAGCAGGGAGCCTGCTTCTCCCTCTCCCTCTGCCTCCTTCTCCCTCTGCCTCCCCCTCCCGCTGCCTGCTGCTCTGCCTCCTTGTGCGCTGTCAAATAAATAAATAAAATCTTAAAAAAAAAAAAAACCACTAAAATTTAACTTAAGATCTTAGAATACTAAGAATGTATTATTAGTTTCACTGTACACTTTGAAATGAAATCTTAAGGAAAAATAAAAATGAGGAAAACCTTCAAAGTTGCTACAAACCTCTATACTTTCAAAACGGAACTGATTTCAAGACAAAATTTTTGCCAGAAATGTCTGAGAGATGAATAAATAATACTCAATATTCTCAACACGTGATACTCAGAATAATAGTGTTAGTTTGACACTGCAGCTCAAAGTTTACAGTTTTTTAAAACAACAAGATTTAAACACAATTAGGAAAATGTTTATACCTTAACAGACTGTAAGATGACAGTCCCCTGCTCAGTTTCAATTTTACAATTATCACACTCAATATTTTGGATTTTTACACAGCCAGAACCTGATGACTTGATATTCAAATCTAGAAATGAAAAAAGAAAAAGCAAATTAGTACTATGGCTAATGAGCTCCAAAGCATTTTAGTACCCCCCAGAAATCCAGCTCCTCAGTTACATTCATAATATTACTGAACTCCGGAGAGAGCATAGTTGTCAGCATCTAAGGGGTCTCCACCACAGCAACAGGACAAATGTAGTGCCCTCTTCTGCTAGCTTTTAGAAATAAAGCAGTTATTTCTATTGACCTATATCATCTAAAGAGGGAAAGTAATATAGGAGAAAAGTAAAAGAGGGCAGACACTCCAAGTAATACACATTCCTGGTAAAGATCATAGAAGCCTCTTCCCCACTGAGAAAATAAACACAAACACACACACACACCCCACACACCACACCACACACCACACCACACACACACACACACACACAGGTTCAAGTAAGACTACAGGAAGTTAAAAAGTCATTATGGTAAACTGAATAAGCCAGTTAGCCTCTTCTCCCTTATATTCACGAAGATTTAAAGGTTTCCAAACCTCGTATAAATTAAAAGCATATTGTAGGAGTAGTAGATCTGTGTTTGTTGACCCCACACAAACTACTGGGCCTTAACACAACAATTTAATAGTTATGGCATAAAAATAAATTTCTACAGTTTTGTATATGGCAGTCTCTGCAAAGGTTTTAAAAACAGCAATACTTTGGTCATAATAATCTAAAATATATAAACCAATAATTTTATCCCAGAATTACATGGATGCAAATGTAATTAATCAATTTTTACCCAAGTTGAGTAGTGTTACAACATAGCCTTGATCTAAGGCAGCACTGATAGACATGTAGAGAAGGAAATATATTATAAATATCCTCTACCCCCACTAGACAGGTAGAAAAGCCCAGCACTGAGTGGCAGTAATGCTACTCTTACCCACTCACAGAACTGGAGGAACAAGTAGATATGAAGAAAACTGAATTATGTTGATTTGAGGAGCTCATGGAATAGACACCTAGAAATGGTAAATTGGAAACGGGATTCTGGCTCTAAGAAGAGGAATCTACAAATGAGGTTTGAGATCACCAGCACAGATAGTTCCATTTTCATCTGTGTTACCATAGAATTTTGCTTACTCTATTTCAATACTCAGTCCATTTTTTTATTATGATAATATATTGGCAAATCTTCCTCCCCACCCCAGACTGTTACATTTTGAGGTCAGGGTCTCTTATTCATCTAGGCTGGTTTAAAGAATTTGAGAAGCAGTAAACCATAGTGGCTGAGCAGACTCGTCAGTTCAAATTTCAGCTCCACCGCTTTATATCTGAGAGAGAATAGGCATATTTTTTGATCTACTCCCCATCAGAATGTAAGTTTCATGAAGGCATGGATTTGTTCACCCACAATAAATACTTATTTCATGAAACTTGCTGTATCTCAATTTCCTTATGTGAAACAGCGCCAATAACAATATCTACTTGATGGTAGATTGTAAGGATTCAAAAAGATTATCTTATAAGTATTAGCTGCTGGGACGCCTAGGTGGCTCACTGGTTTAAGCCAGCTCAGACCATCAGGCTCCTAGCATCCAGCCCCGCATAGGGCTCCTTGCTCTCCCTCTGCCTGCCGCTTCCCCTGCTTGTGTTCTGTCTCTCTGACAAATAAATAAAACCTTTAGAAAAAAAAAAGAAAAGAAGTGTTAGCTGCTATGACGATCATCATTAGTATCATCCTTCAGTCCCAGGAAGGAGAGCCTGGGGAGACTTTCCTGGGGAGACTGCTGTGTACACACTGGCTTGCATTTGATAATTATTATGGAACCCAAATACCTAGAACACTGCAGGCGTTGTCAACTGGTCCCCCGGGGCAGTTTTACTATGTGTTTGTGTTTTTTCAAAGACTGCTACTCACGGAAAATTTACAAGGGAGATATATAAGTAAGAAGCCGGGTGCCTATCTGAAACCGAACACTTGGTCCAGGTTAGATATGGTACATCCTACAGACAGAGCTGTTTTGGAACAGACCCCAAGCTGTGTATAGGCAAGGGGAAATGTGAATAGACTGCCATACCACTGAATGAATTATCAAGAAGCTTCAACCCTGAAAAACAAACCACTTTTCTATTGACAAAGTGCAGTGACAGAAAAATAGGAACTACGTGCCAAAGGAGAACATAAGGGTTCCACAAATAATAGTTGACTTAGATTATTCCAAATGATGTTCCACTGGATTTATAAAATTTCTATCATTGGGAACCTGATGTCTAACTTTCATTAGGAAGCTCAAAGTAGAACAGAAAAAAAAAAAAAAAAAGAGGCAGGTTCCGAGGCGGGGAGCAACTAAATTAGGTTAGAAAGTCAGATCCAAAGGGACCAATTAAAAGTGCACATCAGCTTAATCTCAGAAGTTCTCTGGCTGTGCCCTGTGACCCAAACCCGTTTTCACTTCACTTGCCAAACTTCAGGGGCGCGTTCACCTCCACGGATGCCTGGGGGTCGATGGTGTCAGACACGATGGCTACCTCCTTCAGCGCCTCGTCGTACTTCACCTGCAGGCCCGCCAGGTCCCGCGCCCCGCCCTCCGCTGCTCTCACCGCGACCAGCACGCGGTCGCCATCTCGGTAGGTGAGGGGGTCCAGGGGCCTTACGGCCAAATGACACGGAAGCCGCGCCCGCAGCCGACCGAAGGGGCTCACCAGCAGCGCCCACTCCTTCAGAGTCTGGTGCGCGAGGCCTGGCGGAGAGACCGCGGGCTCGGATCCCGGCTGGCGCTCGCCCCCACCAGAGCGGTACCGCCGGGCCGGGCCAGCCCGACACGCCCAGGGCCGGGCAGCTCGGAGCTGGCTGAGGCGGAGGCAGCCGAACCCCCAGCCCGAGCGGGGGGCGAACATGGCGCGCCCCTCTCGCGCTCCCACAAGTCACCTCAGCCGTAGGCCAGTCTCGCCACGGCCAGTCTATTTGACCACCGCACAGGCTCAAGTCAAAGGGGAGACGTTTGCAAAGATTTGCTGAACCCAAACTGCTCACTTTCTTCGGCAATTTAAGCCTCAGCCGCACACGCCTCCGCGGCAAGTTGGAATTTCACAGCTGTAAGTACCCACTCCGACCTGGACTCCTCGTCCGTGCCCGCCCCCTTTCGCAAAGGCGCATGGGATAGGTAGTTCTAACGGGGACGAGAGGTCGTGGGGCTCCGGGAAGTTTGGAAACTACATATCCCAAGAGGCAATGCGCAGGGTAGAAAGGGTAGTAAGAACAGGTGTTACCCGAACTCAGAAGACGCGCGCTCGTTGCCTGAAGCCCATTAGCCATTGGAGGAATTGGGGAGGGGGGGTGGAACCTACTTGGGAATCCAACTGGCCAATGGAGAGCGCGGAAGGAGCAAGGTGGGCAGGACTGCGTGGTTTCCTTGGATACTGAGGACGCGACTTCTTTGGAGCAGGTGGAGCTTTGGAGTGAGACCCTGGAGGTCCTAATCTACCGAGAAAAATACGAACCTAAATAAGGATCAGGACCAAGTTAAGGGGTAAGAAACTGGGCTTTTAAAAAGGTGAGAACTAGGGGTGCCTGGGTGGCTCAGTAGGTTAAGCGTATGCCTTCGACTTAGGTCATGATCCCAGGGTCCTGGAATCGAGTCCTACCTCGGGCTCCCTGCTCAGAGGGGAATCTGCTTCTCCTTCTGCTCCTTCTCCGGCTTCTGCTCTCTCTCTCTAAATAAATAAATAAAATCTTTTTAAAAAGATTTTATTTATTTACTCATGAGAGACAGACAGAGAGAGAGAGAGAGAGAGAGAGAAGCAGGCTCCCAAGGAGCAGGGAGCCCGATGCGGGACTCGGTCCCAGGACCCTGGGATCATGACCTGAGCCGAAGGCAGACGCTTAACCATCTGAGCCACCCAGGCGCCCTAAATAAAATCTTTATTTAAAAAAAGGTGAGAACTAGATGCAAACTAGAGTTTGTGGTTAGATCCAAACTAAAGTGGGTGGTTAGATACAAACTTCATTAAACTAGTGCAGGTACCCTGGTATGGAAAATCCCTCAGCAAGAAAATAAAGAGCCAGATTGGGTGGGTGGGGGGGTTTAATTCTTTTTAAAAAGATTTTATTTATTTGTTTGAGAGGGAGGGAGGGAGCACAAGCAGGGGGAGCAGCAGGCAGAGGGAGAAGGAGAAGCAGACTCCCTTCTGAGCAGAGATTCCCTAAGTGGGGCTCGATTGAGCACTCTGGGATCATTACCTGAGCCCAAGGCAGACGCTTAACCAACTAAGCCACCCAGGCTGGTGTTTTTTGGTGGAACTCCCTCTTTGATACCAGGTATAGGAATAGCATTAGAGTCCTGCCTCACTCCTGATCCTAAGTGATCTTAAGCCAGTCATTGAACGACTAAGGGTTTTAATTGCTTTCCCTTAAAATGAGGTCAATAATACTTTCCTTGTTTTGCCTTAAAGAGTTTGCAAGGATCAAATGAGGTAATGGATGTGAACATGATGCAGAGGCTACAAAATTGTAGTGTAAATTACTGTATTTTTATTTTAGGGATAGCACTGATTCTTAGTAACCAAGAAATATCTGAGAAATCAGGACTTGTGTTGACAGTAGCATTGACCTCTTTGACTACAAATGATCCCCAGTTTTAGGGCTAAAATAAGGAAAAAAGAGTCAACACAGTGCAATGAGAAGAGCATGAGACTGATTATTTTCCTGGCTCTTTGGGTCACCTGAATCTGTTTCTTCAGCTTTAAGATGAAGAAGGATTGCACTAACTGACTCTTTAAGATCTTTTTTACCTTTTATTATTCTGCAGGCAATTTAAAAATTATTTCCTGCTTCCCTGTATATCTCTCCCTTTCTGTGCCCCTTCCTCTTCCTACCCATTACTCCCTAAGTTCTTTAGTAGAGACTGCAAACAATGGCATTAAATAAAATGCAAGTGCTGAAACTGAGTGTCTTAAAAAACTGAAGCCCTTGTTGGTGTGCCCAGGGGGGCGTTCAGTCGGTTGAGTGTCTGATGGTTTTGCTTAGGTCATGATCTCCTGGGCCTTGGGATCCAGCCCGCCTTGGGCTCCCCGATCAGCAGGGAGTTCTGCTTAAAGATTCTCTCCCTCTGCTCCTCCCCCTGCTCTCTCTCTCTCTCATACAAATATATAAATCTTGGGGAAAAAAACTGAAGCCTTTGGCAAAAGTGCAATAACTGGAATTACTGGGAGGTATAGTGATAGAGAGATGGACTAAAATCCTAATGAACTGGGCTAAAGTCCTCGTGGGCCCAAGCCACAGGGTTCTCCCCTAGCCATTATCTTTTTTAAAATTCAGTGTTTTCATAAGTTATCCTTTCCTCTTTTCTGTCCTCCTAGTTCTTTCTCTGTCCTTATTCTCCCTCCTAGTGAAGGCTCATGGTAAGTGCTAGCTTTTAGGTTCACCAAATTCCCACTGAACATTAGCTCTGTCCTTGACTTTGTGTTTCATTTGGTCATAATTATTCAGACTGATCTTCAAAGTGTCTTTTTAATGAAAACCCACAAGGATAATGTTGAAAAAATCTGAAAAAGACATTGGTTTATGCAAGTTGAGAATGCACTCACATTTGTTGTACACATGCCAAATATTTTTAGATTAAATAGGAATACCTAGCAGATTATTTTGTTTCTGTGGTAATATTTCCTTTTTTGAGACAAACCAAGTTCATGGAATTGGCAAGTGAACCATAATTATCTCTGTGGCAAAATCATTGTTTGATTATTTTCAAACAAAACTAAAAAAAATTGACTAAAATACTACTTTTCTGATTACATGAATTTGAAAATGGAGGAAATGATTGATATAAGATTAATATAGGATATTAAAAAGTTATTGATACTTTAAAAATACTCTTTTATTGATACATGACTTATGTATCAAATCTATCCACATGTCAATGATGACTAATAAAAATACTGCCTCCCATCTGTATGACATTAGTTTTCAAAGCATGTTCACATGTGTCATCTTACAGTATCCTCATAAAACACTCAATTTAGCAGAGCAAGTATTGTCCTCCCATTATAGATGAGGAAACAAATTCAGAAAGATTAAAATTAAACAATTAGAGGGTCTGGCCCTCTTCCCACTCTACTAAAAGGTCCTCTATCCTCCTGATACCTTTGAAGAAAAATAATTATTCATCAAATGAATGGAGAATCATATACAACTTTTCCCCCTTAGAGTTTACTTGTAAGGTATTTTTACATCTTCAGTTGAAAAAAAACGACAACATTCCTATGGTCATGAACATATACTGCTAGTGGGAGTGTAAGTTATTACAAACTTTCCAGAGTTCATTTCAGCAGTATGCATACAGCACTTTAAAAATATGTGTATCCATGACTTGGAAATTGTATTTTTGGGGATTTAATGTAAGCATAAATTAGGGACATTCAAAAAAACTTCAAGGAATTTTGTTTTATAGAGTTACTTATGATACTAAAGTAATGAAGCAACTTAAATGTTCAAAAGAGTAGGATGTTACATAAATCAGTATACATCTGGAATATTATGCAGCAATTCAAAAATTATATTTTGAAGACTATTCAGTGATGTGGGAGCACTTCCATAATATAATTGTAAAGGAAAATCGTCCAATTCTCCTTCTGTGTGTTTTTCCTTTACTCTCACACTATTACCACACTCACAACACTTCTTCTGACACTTCTGGCTACCACATGTCTGGGGGTTTTCCCCACAACAAGCAATTTTCCAAGACACCAGCAGGGTGTTCTACAGTTTAACTCAATTCTGACACTACATACCTGCAAATAGTGTCAGATCCCACAGGTTAACAGCTCAGCTCCACAAGACTTCTCCCACCCACTTGAGATGCCAATTACAAGTAATAGGTCCCTAGGTTACCCACAACTTCTTTCTGGTTTGGCTACAAATCAGAGGTTCCCACAACCCCCTTCACAGTTTTGATGAACATGCCAAAGTGGTTCTCAGAACTCAGGGAAACATGTTTACCAGTTTATTAAAAGATAAGTTGAAGGATACAGATGAATAGCCAAATGAAGAGAGATACAGGGTGAGGTCTGGGAGAGTCCTGAGAACAGGAGTCTCCCTGGAGTTGGGGTGTGTCTCCCTCCTTGTGTGGATTTATTTGCCTACGTGGAAGCTCTGCAAACCCCATACTATTGGGATTTTTATGGAGGCTTCATCATGTAGGCATGATGGGTCATTAATTCCATTTTCAGCCCTTCTTTCTTCTTAGGACAATGGGGGCAGGGTTGAAAATTCCAACCTTCTTATCATGGTTTGTACTCTCCAGTGACCAGCCCTCATCCAGGAACCATCTAAGAGCCCGCCCAAAGTCACCTCATTAGAACAAAAGACATTCCTATCACACCCAGAAATCACAAGTGTTTCAGGAGCCCTGTGCCAGGAGCCAAGGAGAGATCAATATTTTTTTTTCTCTATTATCTCACAGTAATATTAAGTGAAAAGAGTAGAATGCCAAATTGTATGTTTAGTATGATCCCAATTCTATAATAATAGTAATAACAATAATAATTTTAAAATAAAATTGTATTTAAGATTTTATTTATTTATTTGAGAGAGAGAGAGCACAAGCTGGGGGGAAAGGGTAGAGGGGGAACGGGCTGAGCAGGGAGCCCGATGCAGGACTTGATTCCAGGACCCTGGGATCATGACCTGAGCTGAAGGCAGACGCTTAACCAACTGAGCCACCCAGGGCGCCCTAAAATTGTATTTTAAAGTATATTCCATAGAAACAATTCCTACTTGGTAACAATGGTTATCTCCAAGTAGTGAGATAATGAATTATTTCATTTTTTGTGTGTTTTCAATAATAAACACATATTTATAATTTAAAAGTTTTAAAAGCACTTCTTAAAATATACTGTTTCCTAAAACTAACTCAAATAATGAAACAGGTGGAGGATTTCTTACTATCTAAATGTAAATACCCATGAAGAT